CAGGCACAGTTTTACCAGGTTGTGAGCAATTAATTTCCTCTGCCTCTTCCAGTTTAAAAGGCTTCTACTACTAGTGGAAAGGTAGATTTTGTTTAAATTTTTATGTAAAGAATTTAAAATTAGAAATGAGGAAATTTGTGTTTGTTGGGGGTGGGTGTTCTCCACGGTGTAGGGCAAGGTTATGGAGGACTTTCACTTAGGAGTTGTGTGTTTCAGGTTTTCTTTTTTAAAAATGACATTATTAATTTAGTAACCAGAAGAAAAGAATAAGTGGTGTTTTGTTTCATGCTAGCTGCTAACGAAACAGGAGGGAAGGGGGCAGGGCACAACCTTTAAAAGAATGACATAGCCCTTGGGATATGACATAAACTGGTTAGAACCAACTAGGTCCAAGATGGCGGAAGATTCGACTTCCAGTAGACCTTGAGCCTCATAATATACTCTCCGTAATACATTAGCTAAATGACACACCCACAGGCGCATGACAGTTCCGAGACTGACCGTAAAAGGTCAAAAATTAGGCGGTGGCCCAATTCCTGGAAATTCTGCCCCTTCCCCCCAAAAGTTGGAATTATCCTCCCACTAGTTAGCCTATGAAGTTACCCGGCTCAGAAAGACTAACAACAACCCCGTATTTCGAGGCCTCGCACCTTCTGAGATGGTCCACACTCTGTCTGTGGTGTGTGTTTCTTCCAAGGCCATTCTCGCCTTTTGCAATGGACTGCATTCTTCTGCCTATGGAATGTGTACCTCTAAACAAATCCACTTCTTACCTATCACTTTGTCTGTCACCGAATTTGAATTTCTGTGCTGAGACATAACCTGAGCTTCAGTAAGTCCTGAGACCAGGTGTGTGATCTCTGTTAAAAGACAGTAGGTTCATGGGACTTCCTGGTGGTCCAGTGGTTAAGACTCCACGCTTCCAATGCAGGGGGTGCGGGTTCGATCCCTGGTCAGGGAACTAAGATCCCACATGCTATGGGAGTGGCCAAAAAAAAAAAGACAAAAGACAGTGGGTTCAAGTCCCAATCTGGGTTGTACAGTTTCACTACCAGGCCTATTATATATATATCAGTGTTGGAAGGAAGTAGAAAGGAATTTATCTGTGTCCCCAAACAGACCCCCAAAGTAGGATCATTAAGGTTAGACGGTGTCTTGTCTCCTCTCCCACATGTGTTTTTAACTTCTTGTTCCCTACTTAGGTTGTAGCTCTAAGGCTTGGTTCTGTCTTTGCCCAGAATTATTATTCTGTTTTTGTTGATTTGCTTATGAAAATGCCTGTTGTAATACTTCTGGGAATTTCTTTGCCTAATTACTGTGATGCCGTTTCTTTTTTTTTCCCTTAAAAAGTATTTATGTATGTATTTATTTCTCACACACACACACACACACACACACACACACACACACTGTATTTTATTTTTACAAGAGATAAATAAACTGACACCAAGCATTGTAAATGGATGACCACAACAGAAGCAAAAATGATTGCAATTACCAAACACGAAACACACTCACACTGTGTCCTAATATTGACATTCAGTCCAGGAATCCTCCACGGTAACAGCGCCTTTACTTTGCAGCGAAAATTGATTTGTATATTTGACATGGGACTGAGTGAACTGATGAGGATGACTATAATTTTTGTGATGACGTTTCTAACCAGCTTCTCCCTCCACACATGCACACATCACAGACATACACGTTTTCTAGAACACATGAAAACTGCTAATTTTTTTTCTTAAAAAGAATCATTTTATGTACAAAAAAATATGTGTGTATATATATGTATACAATTAAGCAAAATGAGAATCACCCAGAGTAATGATTAGCATTGGAGGTTCTTGATGTAGCTTTTTGAAATGTTAATACCTTCAGAAAGGGCTGGACTTAGGATGGATTTGCATGTGTGAACTGAGGACTTTGGGCTAATTTCTGTGTAAATGTAATTTTACCTTTAGTGTTCATGCTGACTTGGTTTATGTCTTTATATAAATGCAAGCTTATTGTTTTTCAGGAAAGCTGCAACTAAAAAGGACAGAAAGCATTCTGTCCTTTCCTGCCCTGTTAAGAGACTTAAATATTATTGTATTTACGAGATGATATGAAACCTATTATATATATATGAATCCTTGTATTCAGCCATATTTATAATAAATACTCATAATATAAAAAAAAAAGAGACTTCAAATTCTCTTCAAGTTGCCTCTCATTGAGTTTCGTCCTCCGAGTACTTGTAGAATAGGCAGCCATGTGTCTGTATAAAAGGACTCACTGTATTAGCCATTTGATTCTTGGAAGCCTTTTCATAGTGCTTTTTAAAAACTATCCATGTTGAAGATTCTAGAATTCCAGGGTGCAAAGTGAATGTGAATAGGAAGTTTTAATTTTCATAGAATCAGCATGAATCCAAAAGGACTGGAGAAAGAGATTTTCATACTCTGAAAAAATAGTGCAGTGTAATGGAAAGAGTTCAGTCGGGTTTCTGTTATGCACTAGCCAGGTCTCCTTGTACGAGTTGTGTATACGGTGCCTCACTTTCTTTATCTGTCAAAAGATAAAGAGGTTGGAGGACCCCCTTCATACCTCCCCCTAGGAAAAAAGCCTCTGCTTTACTCTTTAACACATCACTAAAATGACAGTAGATTTTGTGTGTGTGTGTGTGTGTGTGTGTGTGTGTGTTTAATGGCGTAAACCCCTGAAAATGAGAACAAGAAAGGAGACCACAGCAAAAAATTTTGCAAGTTGGAAAGCAGATGGACCAGTGATAAAGGACTTAATGGACCCAAGAAAACTGACTGCTAATGTGGCAGCAAGGAAAGCCAGCAACCACTGCAGTTTATACCCCAGAATCCCTCAGAAGCTCAGGAATCAGCAACATCAAGTACTTTTGGAGATAAGAATAAAGGAGGCAACTAAGATAAAGGTTGGTTGAAAGCTGTTTAAAAAGCAGTCAGATACCCAGATTCCTTCCCCCGTCCTGGCAAAGTACTAGAGACTTGATAAGCTCCAGAGATGGCAAAATAGAGGGTCCTTCAACCGGGGGGACCTGGCTTGGTTTAGGGCACCCTAGCCTTTTCCTCTTCCTCAGTTTTAGGGTGCTTGCAGCAAAGAGCATGTGATTCTGGCAGGAGATTAGAATAGACTTCTCTGGGGAACCTGACTGGACCAAGAGGAAAGACCCAAAGATATTGACACTGGAGGTTTCCAAACCAAACTTTTGGCCAGAACACCCTCCAATGAAGAACCTCAGTCCAGACCCTTCCAGTTAGCTTTCGTTCCCCACTCTTAAATATTAGCAGATGGCCAAGGATCACTGTGCTAGAGACCAAAACAAATACGAAGCAGCAAATTGAAAGAAACAGAATATACTGGGAGGAAAAAACTTAACTATCACATATGTTCTCAAGAGTCAGAGGAGAAGGATTGCAAACACGGAACAAGACGTTGAAAAAAAAAATGAACATTCAGAAAATTAAAGGGACACTTTGAAATAAAAACTCTAACAGCAGAAAATGATAATTAAAAGAAGGACTGGGTTTGAGGAAATCTCTCAAGGTAGAGCAGAAGAATAGCAAGATGGAAAGTCAGTTAGAAAAGATGAGAAAATTGTAGGGCCAGGAAGTCCAACATCTGAGTCCTATTTTCTGTTCTCCAGAAAGATAGCACAATACAGAAGGGAGGAAATCATCATCACAGTAATACCTCCTCCTCACCCCAAAATTTTAGAACAGAAAATGAATTTCCAAACTTTAAAAGCCCACCAAAAGGTCAACACGGTGGGCTAGGCACACCAGTATGAAATTTCCTGAAGAGAAAGTTCTTCACACTTCCAGAAAGAAATTACTTCACCTTTTACAAAGATAAAGAATGGGAATGGCTTCGGACTTAACAGGCACAGGGGAATCTAGAAGGCAGTGGGAAAGCACCTTTACAATTATTTCCAGCCTTGAATTCTATAAAACCAACCAACCGTGTATCAAGTGAGGAAGAATGAAAATATCAGCTCTACAGGGTTTCAAAATCACTGCCCTTTCCCCCTTCTTAGGAAGCCACTGGAAGAATGTGCTCTACCAAGTGAGAACAAGGGAGAAGCTGAACTTAGGAAAACTGAGGTTCGATACTATAGGAAGATGAAGGGGCTCCCCAGGACGCTGAGGAAGGGAGATCCCAGAGTAGCATGTGCACATCAGGCTCACAGGAAAGCCTGTCCAAACTGGAGTGGATCGGGAGGTGCTGGACCTTCTTAAGGAAGAGGAAATTGAGGGAAGACCTGATGCCTGTGTCTTCAGGGGAAATGAAGTGGCAAAGGGCATGACGTCAAGTTGTCATCATTTCACATAAAACTAAGCAAACAGGAAAACAAGACAGTCGCTCCAGGAAAAAATAATTATGCAGGAAAGGAAAAGTAATCGTAACTTTCCACATTTCTCAGCTACAGCGAGTATTTATCGAATCGTCATATAATATAAATACTGAAGGTTGTCCTAACCACGATTATCATATTTGACTGGAGGGAGACTGGAGGATGGAAAGCGTATGTGTGTGGCGGGGGCAGGGGAGGGAGGGAGCGCAGTCTTCAGCTCCCGCAGTGAGAAGTCAACAGATGGACCTAAAACCGAAGCATCGAGGTTGGGTGTGCAGGCTGATGGAGATAAATGCTGAGGTAGTAGGTGAGGAAGTGAGAGCGGCTCCTTTAGAGAAAGACATGGGAGGGGGCCCTGTGTTTTTTTTTTTTTTAATTACGTTGTAAGGTTATTTGACTGTGAACTGCCTGCATATAAAGCTATAACAACAGTAAGAATAGAAACACTGGTAAACTAGTATCATCTGGTTAACATTTTTATTGACAGGTTCAGATTTTAGCTGAAGAGCTAGGCCAGCGGCCTGCCTCCCCAAAAGATGATATCTAAGAAAAATACTCCTTTGGTAGGCATCGAAGAGTTGTAGGAGTGATGACATGTACCAGTCTGAGTTGCCCTTTTTTCTTACCTCTCTAGATTATCCTCTTGACTTGAACCACAGCGAAACCTTCCTACAAACCACAACTTTTCTTCCTGAAGACTTCACCTACTTTGCAAACCATACCTGCCCCGAAAGGCTCCCTTCCATGAGTGAGTAGAGCTCTTGCTTATCTTCCTCTGCTTTTAAAACTGATGCCTTCTTATTTGAGTAAACTAAAAGGAAGAGTGTTCTTGAGCTGTCGATGTCTACTTACACAGAGATTGTAAACGCCTCCCGGATGTTGGGAACGGGGATTCTGAAAGTTACTTGTGCCCTGGCTCCTCTTCAGCACTTCTGTAGGGTGGCCTGTGTTCCTGGTGCCATTTTCTACCACATTTTTCACTCTCTGCTTTACACATGCCCCCCTCCTTTGTAACTCGGGGTCTGTTAAGATGTCCTAGAGAAAGTGTAGGCAACCAGCTTTGTCTTTTAGTATAAATCTCACACTGATTATATGACTTGCTCGCTATGAGGGAAGTTATTTTCTTAACAAAGTGCTAGCTTAGGAAATTCTTGGATCTTTTCTTTCTCTTCCTTTTTCTTCTTCCTCTCCCCTTCCTCTTCCCCTTTCCTTTCCTTTCCTTCTTAGAATCTCATGTATAATCTGAAACAATGACAATGTACTGTTACACCTTTTCTGTACTTTGGGGCTTCTTGGACAGTCCTCTTCTGGACTTGAGTCCGAGACGATGAGAGTTCTGAGTTTGGACGTGACCAGTCGGGGTCACTGATCGATGAGTTGGGATGGTGTGTCTATACATGCCTCAGGAGCACACAGCGACGGTGCCAAGCTCAGCTACTTTCCTCCTTCCGTTTTCAGAAGGTCAGCTGCCGTACACCCTTGGCAGAAGCAGAACTCAAAGGCTCAATTTCTTGATTTGCTGCTTTCCACAGTAATAGTAGTAGTGATTTGCTGAAATGCAATGAGTTGGAAAGCAGAGGAAGGGACCCCCATCCCTGTTAAAAACACCACCCACTGAAAAAGCACTGAACGGCTCCAGAGATTACAACCCTGAACATAGGAATAAGAATACCATTTTCTGGCCTCTTAATTATTATTTTTTTCCCTCCTCTGTTCAGAGGGCCCCATAGCCATAAACATGAGTGAAATTGGAATGGATGCCATCCATGAACTCTTCTCTAAAGACCCAACCATCAAGCTCGGAGGTCACTGGAAGCCATCGGATTGCATTCCTCGATGGAAGGTAGGGGGTGAGGTCAGACCCCAAGTGCTGGAAGCCTACCTGCCATCATCTGAATCACCATGGGTTTCACTCTGACCTTTTGTAATTTGCACCCTACTTACTACTTAATGCAAAATATTTGCATTTGATGGGAACATACGGGAGGAATGGATTTCCCTGAGGACTCTTCTGTAGCCACAGAAATTCACATTGTTCTGATGACTGAGCCAGGACCCTTTTTCTTCCTTACAGGAATATTGGCTAAGCAGGGGGTAGGGGGTGGTAGGTCTCTTGTGACACATTTGCAGAAGCCATCTTCACAAATTCAGTGCTTCATGCCTTATTTGGCATTGTTGCCGTGAGTCTAGTGGAATAAAAAGTGGAGTTATCTAGCCTGACACTGAGAATTGTTTAGTTTTTTTCTGCGTGACTCTAATCAGGAGACATCGGTAGTGTGGATCAAGCTTATGGCACTGGCTTAAGTCCATTCTTTCAACAAGTATTTAGTAAAGTGCCTGTTCTGTGCCAGCCCTATGAGATGCTGTGGTGCAGCAGTGATCAAAGCACGTCTGGAACAGATCAGTGTTTCCAGCCCATCACTGGGTTGTAAAATCAATTTAATGAGCAGCATTTAAAAAAATTTATGTATATATATAAAAGTGCATTGCATGTTTTAAGGGGAAGTACTGTTCTGTGAAGTATGTTTTAGTTGTATGTCTCTATATTTGTGTACTGGGTCACAGTGAATATGAATGTATGTCTTTCTCTGGGTTGTGGTCTCGAATTCATTTGCAGGCCCACTGTGTACATGGTATGGCACATGTAAAAACGAGGTCCACTTACTTCCAAGGGTCGACTTGCCACCATAGGTCTTCATTTAGAGAAGCTGAGGATAAGACAGCTCCCAGAACTCCCCAAGAGCTGGTCCCCGATTCTGCAGAAGTGCCCTGCTGCAAAGCAACAGATGAGGGGACTAACAGGGCGGCCTCTTTTGCTGTGACCCATTGCAGGTGGCAATCCTTATCCCCTTCCGGAACCGCCATGAGCACCTCCCGGTCCTGCTCCGACACCTGATTCCCATGCTCCAACGCCAGCGCCTACAGTTTGCATTTTATGTGGTGGAGCAAGTAAGTGGTCCTTTCTTCTCTCTTCTTTCTCTTCTGAGACAGCAGTTTAGAGAGCTTCAAGCTAATGCATCCTTGGTGGAAAGATCCAGTAAAACTGAAAGCTCACAGTCGACTGAGTCGCCCTGCGGCAGGAAGGGGAGCAGAGAGCAGTCCTGCTTCTGGTTTGAGATGTTGCTCAATATCAGCAGATTTGAGTGCAGCCTGGAACTTGTTTACCCTGAACAAAGGCCTCTTGTGGGCTGGTTTTGCTAGAGCTGCTTTAAGTGTTGTCTTTAGGCCCCAGATCCAGGAAATTCCCCTTAAGATAAGGAGCCACAGGTCGAAATGGCAGTGTTGTCCTTCCTTCCGTATATGGGGCTGGGTACCCTTCTAAATGCTGTTACATGGCTGACTGTCTGCCTTTACAACAGCCTTGGGAGAGAGGAGCTTGGGTTTATCTTTATCACCCCTTTTTATTTCCGAGGAAGTCAAGGCCAGAGGTCAAGTGATTGTGAGTCAGTGATGAGCTGGGCAGGACCCACCTCCCTTCTGGCCCAGGATCTCTCAATAAGCTCTCCCTTAGGCAGGGCTGAGGCAGCAAAGATTGTGCTTCAAGAGTCCTTTTAAAAATAAAGGTCTGCTTCTTTTAGGTTGGCACCCAGCCCTTTAATCGAGCCATGCTTTTTAATGTGGGTTTTCAAGAAGCAATGAAGGACCTGGACTGGGACTGTCTTATTTTTCATGATGTGGATCATATACCAGAGAGCGATCGTAACTATTATGGATGCAGACAGATGCCAAGGCACTTTGCAACTAAACTGGATAAGTATATGTATCTGTGAGTATCATTTCCCCTTAATTAAAGAGGTTAAATCTAAAAGGATGGTGAGAGATGCAAAGATGATAAAATCCAGTTAGCTCCAACCCGAATGGCAATCAACTGATGAATGGATAAACAAAATGTAGTATATCCATCCATACAATGGAACGCTATTTGGCAATAAGAAGGAATGAAGTACTGATATATGTGACAACATGACGAACCTAGAAAACATTATGCTCAGTGAAAGAAGCTAACTGCTAAAGACTGCATGTTATATGATTCCATTTATGTGAAATGTCCAGAATAGGCAAATCTGTAGAGACAGAAAGGAGAATAGTGGTTGCACAGGGTTGAGGGGAATAGGGGGAAATGAGTGACTGTTGATGGTGGGTACAAGCCTTCTTTCAGGAGGGTGATGAAATTAATTGAAATTGTTGGTGGCCATGGTTGCACAGCTCCATGAATATACTAAAAACCATTGAATTATACACTTTTAATGGGTGAATTATATGGTATGTCAATTCTGCGTCAATAAAGCTGTTATTAAAATAATCAATTAGGAAAAAGTTCAATTAGCTACTCAGATTGATGCGTCTCGTCCTGAGGAAACAGTTTCAGGTGGTTCAGGGCAGTAGCACAGAGAGTATTGTTTTACTTAAGACTTAGTTCTCCAGTGAGATGGCCTGTTCTAGGGGGAAAAAATCACCCTTTAATGCACAGATGATTGATACCATACATCTCCTTTTAGGCTTCCTTATACTGAGTTCTTTGGTGGAGTGAGCGGCTTAACAGTGGAACAGTTTCGGAAAATCAATGGCTTTCCTAATGCTTTCTGGGGTTGGGGTGGAGAAGATGACGACCTGTGGAACAGGTACTACCTTCTTCTGATGTCTTCTAGAAATGCTACCTTAGACTCTCCAGACTATCACTGTCTAATAGGAATATGATGTACTAAGCCACGTATGTAAATTTCAGTGTTCTAGTAGCTACATTTAAAAAGGTTAAAAAGAAAAAGGTGTAATTAATTTATTATATTAATAAAAATATTTTTTAAATTATATTTATCATAGTATATCCAAAATAATACCATTTCAACATGTAATCAATATAAAGTATTAATGAGATATTTTACATTCATTTTTTTCTGACTAAATCATAGAAATCTGGTGTGTACTTTACACTCACAGCACATTTTACTGAAACCTCCCCAAACCAGAGGTCAGATGTTTGTTATGTGTACACAGATTTATCCATGCCATCCGATAAGGCTTGTATTATGTAAGTTTGTATGAACAATCCTGTGTGTGATTAGTGTAAAGTAGTATTTTTACAGAGTAAGTAAATAGTAACCTAATAAGGAACAAATAACCAAAAGAATTTCTACCTTGTATCCACTTTCTATCTCAGCTTTAAAAAAAGAAAGGGTGTGTTGGTTGTTAATACAAAATATTTTCGGGTAAAAATTCAGATGATGCAGATGTGTCTAAGCCAGGGAGTATAAGTCTTAATCCCCATTGTTACCCTGTTTCCTTCCCAGGAAGTAGACATTTGAACAAGCTGTTTCTTTCTATAGACTTCTTTCTATTCATACATAAACAACCCAGACACATCCCTTCTCCCCTTCCAACCATGTTAGAGAGCCACTTCATTATTTTTAACAATTGCATGGTATTTCTTTATGTAGATAGACAACAATTTATTTTAATCCTCTCTTGTTGATGAACATTGTTTAATTTTGAACATGTTTTGTTCACATGTGCAAATATATCTTTAGATTAAATTCCTAGTTGCAGAACTGCAGAGTCAAGAAGTAAATGCACTTTTTAAAAAAAATTTTTTTTATTAATTAATTTATTTTTGGCTGTGTTGGGTCTTTGTTGCTGTGCGTGGGCTTTCTCTAGTTGCAGTGAGCAGGAACTACTCTTTGACGCAGTGCGAGGACTTCACACTGCGGTGGCTTCTCTTGTTGTGGAGCACGGGCTCTAGGCACACAGACTTCAGTAGTTGTGGCATGCAGGCTCAGTACTTGTGGCTTGCGGGCTATAGAGCGCGGGCTCAGTAGCTGTGGCACACGGGCTTAGTTGCTCCGCAGCATGGGGGATCTTCCCGGACCAGGGCTCGAACCCGTGTCCACTGCATTGGCAGGCAGATTCTTAACCACTGCGCCACCAGGGAAGTCCCAAGAAGTAAATGCACTTTTAAATTTTGATAGTTATTGTCACATTTTCCTCCAGAAAAGATTGCAAAAATATTCTGACCAACAGCACATTAGCGTACAAATTTTCTTGCACCACCAGCAACATTGGACGTAAACAACCTTTTAAACGTGTGCCGTGTTTCAGCTCTGTAGTAGTTCCATGTGGCTTGTGGCTGCTGTTAGGCAAAGCAGCTCCAGACAGTTAGGTAGAAGTGGCATCTCATCCTTTTAACTTGGGTTTCTTAGGAACCTAGTGAGGATGAACAGCTTTTCCAGACATTTAACTAAGTTTGACTGGTTTTTGAATCCAGTTGAGCTCCCCCAGGATATCTGCCATAACTCTTGTCTTGCTCTTTCCTCAGCTCAGCAAGGAGCCCCTCAGTGCAGGAACCTACAGCTGGTTTTCCCCAGCGCCCCGCACAATTCCAAACACACAGTAGGCATTTCATATATATTTATCAAGTGAGAGTGAGAACACATCTTCACACAGTCGGCCCTCCGTACCCATGGGTTCTGAAGTTGAGGATTCAACCAACTACAGAATGAAAATATTAAAAAAAAAAATTCCAGGAAGTTCCAAAACGCAAACCTTGGATTTGCCACATGCTGGCACCTATTCTCATAGCATTGTATTAGGTGTGATAAGTTAGCTAGGTTTGGTTTAAGGTATCCTGGAGGATGTGAGTGGACTATATGCAAATACTATGCCATTTTACATAAGGGACTCGAGCATCCACAGATTTTAATATCTGTGGGCCCAGTGCTGGAACCAGTCCCCCACCCAGAGACTGAGGGCTGACTATATATCAAAATGAGAGTATAATTTGGAGTCGAGGAGGATGTTGAAATATGAAAATGATCATAAATATCGCATAGATATGCAAAGTCTACCCCATGTATTGCGTATTTCTTGGAGTCCTATCAAGTTTCCAGTAAACCCAGCCTGGGAAATCTTATATTTATCATGTTAAGAATAAATATCCTGAACACCTCCTCTAAATTCTTCTTCCCTCATGGTGACTTTTCATAAATTGTGAAGTTTTACATCTATATCGGAGGACATCATATAAATTAACTCATCTCCCTGGTGATGGGGGAGGTGGGCGGAGACATAAGGTCTCTCTAGGGGGGACACACGGTGACTCTGACTTTGCTGACTTGCTCTGTGGTAGGTCATGGAAGACAGGTGTGCCCACCGGGGAGAACATGTTTCTGATAGGACCCAAACAAGCCGGCCCAGAGGGAGTGTGGTTGTACCTGTCACGGAGACCCTGTGTCACACCTCAAGAATTTTGAATTTCTTTTTGAATTTCAAATTTCTTTCCTTCTTCAAAACGTTTTTGTATTGTAGACTTCTTTTCTAAAACTGTGAACCTATCCAGAGGGGAAGCAACATGAATATTTAGATGCAGAAGTTCTGTTGTTCAGCTTGGGGTCCTTCAGCCTCGGGATAGGTTTGGTCACCTATGGGACTTGATCATTTTACCCAGAAGCCCACCCTCTTTGTCTTGGACAGAGTGCAGAATGCAGGCTATTCTGTGAGTCGGCCAGAAGGTGACGCGGGGAAGTACAAGTCCATTCCTCATCACCACCGCGGAGAAGTCCAGTTTCTTGGAAGGTTGGTGCAGTTTATTTATTCCTTGTACAAATATCCTGTATACTTCACATTTCCAGGTGTCCCCGAGCACTGCAGCCCCTGTCTTGCTCCCCACCCCTCTCCAGGGTCTTGTTCGGACAGCTCTTTTAGAGTTCCTATATATATTTTAATTTAAGTGTGAGGCAGGCGTTTGGGGGCAAAATCATACCATTGGTGAAAATTTTTGACAGTAAGATCTTTTAAGGAAATCACTCATTCTGTGTCTTAAGCTTTGTCGTCTCCTCTGTAGCCTTCAGGGAGTTGGGGAGGAATCCACTCCGTTAAAGGTTTCTGTTTAACTCACAGTCACATGACAAAAAGTTTGGCACCCTCTCTGCAAGCTCTGGTTCTGGAAGGGTGTCCCTCAGCTTCTGTTTGCGTGGTTGCAGCTGCTTTATTACCCTCTGTACGTTCAATAAAGAAATTCCTGATCGGACTGAGTGGGGCATGTGGGTGGAGTATGTCTCTGCGTCCTCAGGAGTGGCTCTTTGTGTCTTTTGTTAGTAGTGGGGAGCACTATTCTCTAGACAGTCGATCTGGCTGCGTGAACTCTGTTTTCATGGGAGTAAGCAGGCACTGAATACAGACTGAACTTTCTTATCCCATGTGTTTAGCAGCTTACCTCCCACTTCCCCACTCTGTGGTTTTGGGAAAGCCAGTTAATATTGAGAGCCTTGGTTTCCTCATCTGCAAAGGGGCAGGCACATTAAATGAAATAATGCTGTAAGTAAAACACCTCGCATGAAATAGGACGTGTTTCTAATTCTAATGATGACGTGTAGCCTGGAGGAGCTGAACGGCCAGTCACCCGCCATGTGGGGCAGGAACATCGTTTTGGGTTGTGCCGCCTCCTGTGGTCTGCCCTGCCCCGTCCGTGTCGTGAGGAGCTTGGACCCTCGCTCAGAGCCACCCCTCTGTTCTCTGCTTAACAGGTATGCGTTGCTGAGGAAGTCCAAAGAACGGCAAGGGCTGGACGGCCTCAACAACTTGAACTACTTTGCAAACATCACATATGACGCCTTGTATAAAAACATTACTGTCAATTTGACACCCGAGCTGGCTCAGGTGACCGAGTACTGAGACGAGGGGAGAATATATGTTTGCTTCACCCACCACCCCCAAGAAAGCAGCCTGACGACATGTCTCGGGGCTCCGCAGAGGAAGAAAACAGAAATCCAGTGTGGATCCATGAGGGATCACAGGGTTCAAGGAAAAAATGTGAACAGAGCACACGCACATAACGCCTTCACCGTTTGGACCCACTGGACTTGAGGGAGTCAGCCGGGAACTGACTTGCTCTTTTCACAAGACAGACGTCTGTCCTGCTGCTCTTCTCCCTCATCTTCTGCCCTGACGTCCCATCTCCTCCACAATCTGCAGAACCGGAACTGTGATCCGCCACCATCCCGCCACGAATGGCCTTGGGAGCTTCTTGCCCTTCAGAGCAAAGAGGCAGACCCACCACAGGGCAGCTGTGTTTTAGGAAGAGCAAAGGCAACTCCACACAACCATTCTTCTACATCTCTGGTGTTCTCTTTGGTTTCATTAAAAAAAAAAAAAAAATTACCTGCTTTGGGTGGGGATGAGGGGGGAGTGGGGGAGGGATTGGGGAAGATAAATAGACATATAACAATCACTTCTTGAAGAAGTATAATTGTAAATAAGCCATGTAAAATGCCTTTTTTAAATTTAATTTTCTAGCTGGCTCCAATTCAAACCGAGGGTTTATAAATTAGATCCCGTATTTGTTTGGCAGATGCAGGAACTCAGCTCAAGTGGAATAACATCGTCTCCCAAATTGCTGTCACTCTGGAAGGGAGTGGTTATAGGGCATGTCACAAGAGAGCAAAACAGTCCAATCTTTATCACCGGTAGCTAACTTCTTGTGCCCCCACCCCTGTCCCCTTTTCCAAAAGTCTTGCTCCCGACTTTGGCTCTGGAGTCTCTGCCCTGCTGGGCACGTCCACTCTCATCCCAGTCTTGTGCTGAACACGAAGCTGCTGTGTTAGAACACTGCTCTCCCGCTTGAAGCAAACCCGTCAGGTGGGCCCACTGTGCACACACCCCTGGATCTCTGGACTTCCTGTCTTGTCCTTCCATCATCGTAAAGAGAGAGTGTGGGTGTTGGTTTTCCCTACTTCCGTCTCTCTCTCTCTCTTTCTCTCTCTCTCTCCTTCTTTCGCTTGCTCTTATGGAACTTGGCCACAGTTTCTGAAGTCTGTGCCTAAATTACCAACCAGCTTCAGTGATTCCTTTGAATATTTCCCATTTTGGTTTCTGGAAAGCTTTGTCGTTAACACTATTAACTAGGACATAGAATGATGAGCAACTGAATTATGAAGAATTCAGCCAGGGAGCAGGTGACACTCGTGTGCTATGGGTCAGCTGGGATCCAGGTTAGACCAAATCCAAGCTTTGGGATTAGACTAACAAAGCTGCCGGACGGCGGCCGCAGGAGCCCAAGTGCTCCATTCACACCCCCATGTGCTTTCTGAAGTCAGATTCTCAATCACATTTGAAGTTGTGCCTTTGTGTTTTCGCCTGAGCCGAATCCCTCACCTCATAGTCCCCTTTGGCTTCTGCAGAATTCTGAAAAATGCCAGGTTTTTCCCCTCCTTTTCCATAAAACATATTTATATATCATTATTAGGAGTACTTTCTGAAGAGTACTTCATGTTTTTTTTTAATTGCCTTGTTTGCCTTCAACTTCCTTAATTTTCATGGTTTACATGGGTGTGTGTAGAGGCTGTATTTGTTTATATACACATGGGTTGGGGGTTTATTCCATTGCATGTGTTGGTTCCATGGACGTATGATCCCCACACGCTGTGGGAGTGATTGGCCAGGCCTTGTTTTTTTTGTTGTGTTTTTGTTCCTTCAAAGAGGAGAATGCTATTTAGAAAATAAACTGCATTGCAAAGCTCTTACCAGCTCATATGAGAGAGCAGACTCCTGCCCTTGAACACGCTGGTAAGTTGTATCATAATGTTTTAAAAGAGTTTTTTTTTTGTTTTTTTTTTGAGCATTTCGTGCTTTAAAAGACCTTCACGAGGAACATGACACACAGACGTTCTTTTGGCTTTCCTTTGATGTATGGTGCAAATAGCAATAAAGATTTCTTTCCCCCCTTCCTTTGAGCACCCCCAGGCCTCTGGGCTAGCCTGGCCTCTTCTCTCTGAGGGCTGTGAGCTGCTTTCAGTGTGACAAAATTATGATGTCATTTGGAAGAATTTGCCAGGACAGACTGATTCTTGGTCAAGAATGGCTCGTGTACACTCGGCAGCATTGTAAAATGATATTGTTTGAAGCCTTTCATTAACACATTTACCATCAAGAACAAAATGTTGGCAAAAGGCTAACACCTGATTTGAAAAAGAAAATGCTGATTTGAGGACAAAAGGAAAAGTCTCTTTCCACTGCTCAAAGTAGGGTCATTTAAATCATCTTGCAGTCATGTGTGAGTTTGTTTTATTCATGTGAAATCTCTTGCTGTGCACTGTAAGTCATTTATCCACCAAGCTGAGTATCGTGTGGGGAAAGGTAAAAGTTAAAAACACAGCCAGGCCTGTGTGCTGTTAATAGTGTGAAATTCTCACGTTAAGAAAAAAAGAACAATAAGAACCAAATGTGACCTTGCATATATTTTGACAGCTGAAATTCTTTAAGGCTACCAACGAATGACCCCTTAAATCAGTCTTGTCTTTTGATTGCTGCGTATAGGAAGAAGTTTTCCTTTCACGCTGTTTTGTTTTGGGGGGGGTTATCAGCAAAACTATTCATTCTGACATTACAGGGCCTCTTGTGAGAGCCTCTCTACCACAGACGTTAAGAGCTAAGCAGCAGCACACGTACTGATTGTATCCACTCACCAATGACCATTACATTGAACGTAGCTCGCTTACTTCCATCACTACGAGTTTTTTGAGCTTGCTTTTATGTTTTAAGAGGTGCCAGGGGTACATTTTTGCACTGAAATCTAAAGATGTTTTAAAAAACACTTTTCACAGAAAATAGTCCTTTGTCATTACATTATTTACTCATGTGTTTGTACATTTTTGTATGTTAATTTATGAATGATTTTTTCAGTAAAAAATACATATTCAAGAACCAAACCTTGGTGGTTGTCTGTCTTTGTCTAGGACAGTTTGACTTCTTAGAGCCTTGGCTTCCACTTTGCCGGGCTGAGCTCCAGGTAGTCCTGAGAGAAGTACTGCCAGCCCGAGCCCTGCAGTCAGACCACTTGAGTGAAAAACGCTGCCCATGTAGCCAAAGCATCGAACCCCACTGTGCTACCAGGCATCCGCCCACACTTGGGTTTTCGTTCAAGAACTGGCCCAGGCGATGCCTATCAAGTCGAATAAGACACCTGGGCAAGGGGTGGGGTGAGGGTCGATGGGGTTTGCCTCCAGGAGGTCCTCTGGGGCCAGTCCACAGTTTGCCGTCTGCCTGATACTGCGTGGAGTATAATCGTAGCTTCTTTTTGTTGAATGTTTACCACTCACTAATATTTATTGCGTGGAAAGTTCTGTGCCCAGGTGCTAGGGATATAATGATTAGCAAAATAATAAAGGGTCAGTGGCTTCATAAAGTTTACTATCCTTTTCTCCTCCTGCACTCCCAGATGGAGGGTATGATTTAACTACAACCACGGTAAGTGCTATAAAGGAGGTAACTCCGGACCATGAGTGCACGGTAGGGAAGGCGTCCCTGAGGTGCGGTGGGTGAGCTGAGGGGAGATGAACAGGGTACCCCGGGAGCTGCAAGAACAGAAGGCCGGTAAGGCGGGAGCAGAAAGGGCAAAGGGGCACAGCGGGCAGTGTTAGACTGGGGAGGTGGACGGGGCTGGACCATGCAGTGCAGGGCCCTGTGAGCCAAGGTAAAGCTTTCAGGTTTTATGTTTAGAGCAGTGGATTCAAGCGCTTCCAGTAGGTAGGGCTGTGTGTGATGTGAGTTGAGAGTAATTTGAACAGAGGCCTCTGGCTGCAGGGAGAATGGCGGATTGTAGAGAAAGAAGTAGGAGGACCAGGTAGGTGAATGCGGTCATGGTGGGGCGTGGTGTGCAGGACGGAGGAGAGGAGATGGAGGGATGCTGACGTAATACTCACAAGACCTGGACATGGATTGCTATTGGGATGGAGGAATCCACTAAGCTGGCTTTGCCACTTGTATGGATGGCAAGGCCATTTTCATGAGATGAGGGCACTGGATGGCATTGGACCAGGTTCACGGGGAAGGTCACGAGATCAGTCATGAGTGTGCTGAGTTCAGGGGGTTTTGAGACAACCAAGCCGAAACAGCAAACAGGCCGTTCTGCGTATGCTGGCTCGGGGACTCAAAGGAATAGTCGGGACCACAGATGGATTTGTGAGTCTCTGGGGTAGGAGATTAGTGAAAATCTAGGAGTGGATGAGATTGTTTAGGGACGGAGTAGAACAGGACGCATAGAGGGAGAACAGAAGGTGGTCTTGACCCAAGACTCTAAGATCTCCATTAATAACAGTTGGGAAGAAGAGGATTAGCCAGTGGGGCAGACAGGAAGAGCGATAGGAGGAAGACAGGAGTGGATAGGACAGGAAGGTCAAGGGAGGAGACATGTTCAAGGGGGTGGTCAATAGCACTGAATGCAGCAAAGAAGTGATGCAAGATGAGGCATGAAAATTAAGGATTAGCAGCGGGGAGGACATTGGTCGAGGCTAGAGCCATTCTGCTGAAGTGGAGGTGCAAGGGGAACCACACTGGAGAAGACCAAGAAAGGAGGGGGTGGAGTAGCAGCGAGTGCAGGCGTTTCTTGAATTTCCTATAAAGGGATGAAAAAAGAAGGCTGGTACCTGGAGGAAGTGTGTGAGGCTCAGGGCAGGTTTTGATTTTGGCTTTCCAACAAGAGAAACTTCAGTGTGTTTTTGAACCCCAGGGAGATGCCCACCAGAGAAAGATAGCTGAATATACGTGAGACAAGGAATACTCCATCAGGAATGCTCCTGAACTAGTAGCGGGGGTGAGATCAAAGCAAACACCAGGAGGCATTAGGAGCCCTTCCTATGCCATCTCTAATTGGCAAACAGCCCGTGAAGACCCATGTTGCTGTTAAAAGATCCAGGATCCTTTCTAGTAGGTCACGAGAATCGGAATTTGGCCGAATTGATCTCTGGTTCTACCACTTCCTCCCCACTCAAAAATTTTTTTAATTTGGGGGAAGTCCAGTGATAAAAATAGTAGTTTCCATTTATTGAGTGCTGCTTCTGGGTCAGGTGCTGTGCTAATTAAGTACATTGTGCACTCTTAATCCTCAGCCCTGCAAGGTAGACTCTGCCCCTTTCTCTAAAGTGGGGTTTCTCAGTCTCGCCTCTTGACACTTGGGGGCGGATAATTCTTTGTACGGGATGGAGAGGGGAGGGTTGGCATCCTCTCTGCAATGTAGGCTATTTAGCTGCACCCTTGGCCTCTACCCTTTAGATGCTGGTAGCATAGCACTCCCTCCTCCCAGTTGTAACAACCAAAAATGTCACCAGGCATTACCATGTGACCCTGGGGAGAGCAAAATCCCCAATTGGGAACCATTGCGCTAGAGGTGGGGAACGGCAGCCACCAAGCCACCACTTGCCTGAGGTGACAAAACTAGCCGATGGGCCCAGCCAGGATTTCAACACCAGGTCATTTTTACCCCAAGGTAAATGCTCTTAACCCCTAGGCTACTTGTGATGCAACTTCTTTTTCTGCATATGTGCTCTTACTAGCTTTTGTTCACAAACACAACTCACAAATATTTTTATTATAAAAGTAATACATGAGCACATGCTTGCTGAAAAAAATGTTTCAATTCTCCCTTTAATTTTAGCAGTTTAGCTGGTGTCTGTATGTACCTATATGCCTATGTGCATGTATAGGGAGATAAAGACGTATACTTTTTTTTTCTTTATTGGAGTATAATTGCTTTACAGTGGTGTGTTAGTTTCTGCTTTATAACAAAGTGAATCAGTTATACATATACATATGTTCCCATATCTCTTCCCTCTTGTGTCTCCCTCCCTCCCACTCTCCCTATCCCACCCCTCTAGGTGGTCACAAAGCACCGAGCTGATCTCCCTGTGCTATGTGGCTGCTTCCCACTAGCTATCTACCTTACGTTTGGCAGTGTATATATGTCCATGCCTCTCTCTCGCTTAAGACATGTATACTTTTAAAGAAACTTAAATTGTATTACTTTTGACTTTGTATATTACTATTTCTTGGTGACCTCTTCTCTGTGAATGAAGAGCTGTCTCAGAGTTCAAATGTCACTCCCTCCGGGAAGCATTCCATGGGCACCCAGTCTACTGTGCGTCAGCCCTCATTCACCTTTCTTTTGCTTCACAAGATCTCTTACTCTGAATCCTGCTATATGGTTATTCGTTCTTTGTTCACTGACTCTCGGCCCCACCCAAATGTAATCCCCACGAAGGTAGAGACTGTTTTATTCCCTGCTCTATCCCCAGTGCCAAGAACCAGTCCTGGCACATAGTAGGTGCTCAATGAATATTTGTTGAATGAATGAATGAGCAAACCTATATTATTCCTGTGAATGGTCACATGTAGTATGGATGGATGTAATTTATTTACCTATTCTACTCCTGAGGAACATGGAGGCTGTTTCCAATTTTCCACTATCACATGATATGCACCACAGTGAACACAGCTCCCCATAAATTCGGGTGCATATATGTAAGCAGGTCAACTTGAGAGAGTCCAAAAAGTGGAATTACTGGGGCGAAGAATTTGCACATTTTAAATGTTGATGGAATACACCAATTTGTCCTACAAAAAGGAAGTCTGAATTAACCCTTCTACCATCTATGAATGACCATGCCCTTTATATCTTTAATCCCCTGTAATTGATTTTGTGTATGAGATGAGGTAGGGGGGAGGGTCCAAATTTTTTTTCTGAATGGACTGCTAATTGTCCCAATATTGTTTATCATAATATGTAATTTCCTCATTGTTTTTGAAATACCATGTCTCATACATTAAATTCTTTAACAAGATTCTTTTTTTTTTTTAGTTAATTAATTTGGTTGCACCGGGTCTTATTTGCAGCAGGCAGCCTCCTTCGTTGCGGCTCATGGGCTCCTTAGTTGCAGCTCACTGGCTCCTTAGTTGTGGCATGCAAACTCTTAGCTGCGGCATGCATGTGGGATCTAATTCCCTGACCAGGAATCGAACCCGGGCCCCCTGCATTGGGAGCTTGGAGTCTTAACCACTGCACCACCAGAGAAGTCCCCTTTAGCAAGATTCTTGCATTCCACCAAGTTCTTTGTCTCATTCTGCTTTACATAGTTCATATTTATCCCTATAGTATATTTTCAAAAGACAAGTATCTCTCATCTTCCATATACTCCTCGAACTTTTAAATGTAAGCTTTCCTAGAAGTGGAGTTTACATACGGAAGAATCCATAAATCATAAGTGAATAGCTCTTTGAATTGTTAGAGTGAACATATCCATATAACCTCATGATTGTTTATTATTAAAAATTTCTTGGCTATTTTTATGTATTTTCTTAATCCAGTGAAATTTAGATTCATTTTGTCAAGTTCTATTAAAAAATCGATATAGGATTATGATTGACATGACATTGAAGTATTAATTTGGGAAGTCTTAGTATCTTTACAGTATTAATTCTAATCTCCAGAATTACCAAATCCTTTTGCTCAGAGAAAACATGAACCATTCCCTCTAGCTGTGACCAACTCATGATCCTAAAACTATGGGGTTTTTTTGTTTTTTGGTTTTTTTTTGCGGTACGCGGACCTCTCACTGTTGTGGCCTCTCCCGTTGCGGAGCACAGGCTCCGGACGCGCAGGCCCAGCGGCCATGTCTCATGGGCCCAGCCGCTCCGCGGCATGTGGGATCTTCCCAGACCGGGGCACGAACCGGCGTCCCCTGCATCGGCAGGCGGACTCCCAACCACTGTGCCACCAGGGAAGCCCTGCAACTATGTTTTTATTAGTCAGTGGATTCACAACAAAAATACTATGA